GTTAGAGCATTGTTGGTCTACCAGTCATTTTGCTCTTCAGTCATTGCCAGCTGGGCTGCCTGTTATCCTGTTGATGGTAGCGGTGGGTGTTCCTGGGATTGAATCACGCTAAGGGCTGTGCTGCAGAGTTATGCCCTCCTCCCAACATCACATACATACCTCTGAATGAAGGCTATGCCATTCAGAAGAGGAAGGCCAATCCTTCCCTTAGGCAAATTGAGCCACTTGACTCAGACAGCAGGTTGTGGTGGGGGGCCAACCAAACACACCCAACAGTGCTCCCCTGCTTGCTACTGGGTGATGGTCACGCTCCCATTCAACACTAGGCTATCATTCTGCTCTGCCACCAAGCTGGCACTACTGCTAAACTACCATTTGCCCCAGCGCGTGCTCTCTCTCTCCCTCCCTCCCTCTCTCTCTCTCTCTCTCTCTGTGTTCATACTCATTTATTTATTTAGACATTTCTTGACCATTTATTAACAATGTCCTCTGGGCAATTCACACAAAAACTCCAAACAATAAAAATTATAACAATGAAAAAGTTAGAATCAGTACAACTATCCAGACTTTTTAAAAAAGAAAGAAAAAACCCTAGCAAAAAAACCATTCTAAAACCGCATTTAAAACCCAGCTAAAAATAATTTGTTCCGAGGACTAAAATACACTAGGGCGGTGTTCTAAAAGGGTCTGGGAGAAGAAAATGGCCTTTGCTGAGCGCCAAAAAGATCTTAATGCAGGCACCATCATAAGATGCCTTCAAACAGCCTCCTCGTAGCAGGAAGGAGGCAAAAATAGCGTTGTGCAAGCCCAACTGTAGACTGTTAACAAAACTCTCTGTAATAGCTCAGGTCAACCTTCATGAGACCTTCCCTCCCCTTATTAGCAAAGCTGCTTGTTCCAGTTGCAGGGAGACTGGAGCCCTGGCAGATTATTCAGCAGCTTTCAATCACTGTCAGGCAGGCCCCGCTTCAATATCATAATGATGGAATGTGCAGTGGCAAACACAGAGGGGGCTTGGCTTCCCCTCTGAACAAAAGAGGGGGCCCAGCAGGCAGTGTATGAGGCATCCCTTAACTCTTCCGACAACACCGAGCCAGTGTGGTGTAGTGGTTAAGAGTGGTAGACTTGTAATCTGGTGAACCGGGTTCGCGTCTCCGCTCCTCCACATGCAGCTGCTGGGTGACCTTGGGCTAGTCACACTTCTTTGAAGTCTCTCAGCCCCACTCACCTCACAGAGTGTTGGTTGTGGGGGAGGAAGGGAAAGGCGAATGTTAGCCGCTTTGAGACTCATTTGGGTAGTGATAAAGCGGGATATCAAATCCAAACTCTTCTTCCTCTTCTACTACTCCTCCCCATGTGAAAGGTACAGGATGCTCAGAGGCCTTTGTGGAGTGTCCTCCTGGTGTTCAGGCCTCTGCAATTTGCATTTCGTAATCTCTTGGTCATTTAGCGGCAGATAATTTGTCATGGTTTGCTTTAATGGTTGCGATATTGATATTTATTATGCAAATTGTATTCCCCTACATCTTATTGTTCTGCATCCTATGAATACTTAAATTATTATAAACCTTTATCCTTAATGTGAGTCGTCCTTCAGTTTGATGCTTGAGCAGTGTTGGGTCATAACATGCGGCAACTTACGGAAAGGAATAAAATAAGTAATTAAAACCAGGCTGGTGAGGGAGCTGGGTGCCTAATCATACCAAGGTAAATGGAGTATAGGTATAGAGTCCTGAAACCCCAACTTGTTTACCTGGTCCAGGAGAGGAACATTATCCTGGACTGGAACAATCTGGAGTGTCCTAGAGGAAGACAATGTGCCTCCCTTTCCATAAATTAGATAAATCAGTTTGAGTAGCAGTTAGGTTGCATCAAGGGAAGTCATGGTACCGCTCTATTCTGGTCAGACTCCACCTGGAGTACTGTGTCCAGTTCTAGGCACCAAAGCTTAAGAAATATATTGACAAGATGGAACATGTGCGGAGGATGATTACCAAGATGATCAAAGGTCTGGAAACCAAGCCTTATAAGGAACAGTTGGGGGAGGTGAGAATATTTAGCCTGGAGAAGAGAAGACTGAAAGGTGATAGGATGTTGTTGTTGTTTAGTCGTTTAGTTGCGTCCGATTCTTCATGACCCCATGGACCAGAGCACGCCAAGCACTACTGTCTTCCACTGCCTCCCGCAGTTTGGTCAGACTCATGTTAGCAGCTTCGAGAACACTGTCCAACCATCTCATCCTCTGTCGTCTCCTTCTCCTTGTGCCCTCCATCTTTCCCAACATCAGGGTCTTTTCCAGGGAGTCTTCTCTTCTCATGAGGTGGCCTAAGTATTGGACCCTCAGCTTCAGGATCTGTCCTTCCAGTGAGCATTCAGGGCTGATTTCCTTCAGAATGGATAGGTTTGATCTTCTTGCAGTCCATGGGACTTTCAAGCGTCTCCTCCAGCACTGTAATTCAAAAGCATCCATTCTTCGGCGATCAGCCTTCTTTATGGTCCAGCTCTCACCTCCATACCCATCTTCAAATACCTGAAGGGCTGTCAGATGGAAGATGGAGCAAGCTTGTTTTCTGCTGGTCCAGGAGGAAGGACCCAAACCAATGGATACAAATTACAAGAAAGAAGATTATGACTAAACATTAGAAAGAACTTTCTGATATTAAGAGCTGTTTGACAGTGGAACAAGCTCCCTCTGAAGGTGGTAAAGTCTCCTGCACTGGAGGTTTTTAAGCAGAGGTTGGATGACCATCTGTCAGGGATCCTTTAGCTGTGATTTCTGCATTGCAGGGGTTGGGCTAAATGACCCTTGGGTTCCCTTCCAACTCTACCATTCTATTATTTTATGAGTCATGTAGCTGTAATAGCTCTGCCAGCCTTGATTCTGTATGTGTCTTGTGGAGCAAGGCACCCCTCGTGCTGAGAACAGCATGCTCTCGTTTATAAAATCTGTAGGGCAAAAATCAGGCTGCCTTTCCTGCATATATGAGAAGGGCACCGATTTGGAAGATGAGAGCGAGAGGAGGAGAACTTTTTGCCAGAGATTTTGCAGTGGGAAGGCATGAGCTGGATTGCATGAGGATGTGAGCAACGGGATGAGAGCTGAAGGGAGCTCTATATTTGCAATGGCGCAAGCCATGCTAGGCGGAGCATACAGCAACTCTTAGCAGGAACAGAGGAGAAGGGGGAAAGAGAGAGAGATTCTCTTGTCCATGCTTGCAGCATGATTCAACATTTGCCGCAAGCGATTTTAGCTTCAGACTCAGCCAGAGAAGACAGTAGGGTAAACCCAAAGTGACAACTTACCTGGAGTGGCACCATTTGGAACAGCCTCGTTAAAAATGCTGGAGATAGTTGGTGAATTTCTCCCCTTCCACTCCAGCACATGTCAATTTGTTCAATGTTTAAGGGATAACAAGGCAAAGACTGTGTGTGTGTGTGTGTGTGTGTGTGTGCGAGAGAGAGAGAGAGAGAGAGAGAGAGAGAGAGAGAATGAGGCTCCAGGTTTCCCATCCAGTTCTATTAATCAACAGTTAGATGTTGTGGTCAGAGTTTACTAAGAAACATTTCTGCTGGGATGGTGCTCTGAGGAAGATCTGCTTCTGCTGCAGAAGGCTGGAGAAGAAGAAATAATCATGCCTTTGCTTTTGCATTAAAAAATGAGAACACGTGGAATGGAGGGGAGGGGAGTTAGAGGGAGATGTCATCCGCTCTCTTGACATACTTCCTTTCCATCAAGTTTCCTGCAAAGAAGCAGACAGGTCACCTCTTGTTTGGATGGAATGCAAAAGATTTGGAGTATTTGTGCTCCACATTTGTGGTATGTGGGTAGCCCTCCTCTCTCACAAGGGGTTGAGAGCAGCATCTTTCGGTACCAGACGGTCAGCGTCACTCCAAAATAATGGGGCTGGGTTAGAAAACAGGAAACTTGGATCAAAATTATGTTTTAAGGGGCTTTTTGTTCCTCCTGGAAGAGGAACTGCAAAGCTATAAACATAAAGCTGTAAATATATAAAGCCTAGGAATGTGCTTCGGTTTGAGTGTTGCACTCTTAGGACCTTCCCACCCTGGAACCCTTAAGTGCTGCTGAGGCATTGCTACCATGCACTTAGCAGGATGAACAGGTAAAATTGTAGCTCCACATGGTACTTAAAATAATGCTGCATTCCCTGTAAATGCAGGGCCCGCTCCCTGGGACAAGATTCCAGTAAGGATTTCTCAGTGTGAACCTCAGTGCAGAGATCTGCAATTACCCAGGACTAGGCCCTATGGCATTTCCGTGTGCTGCGCTGGTGCCGGCTCGCCAGAGCAGCCTCGTCATGCTGACCACGTGACCTGGAAGTGTCTTCGGACAGCGCTGGCTCCCGGCCTCTTAAGTGAGATGAGCGCACAACCCTAGAGTCGGACACAACTGGCCCGTACGGGCAGGGGTACCTTTACCTTTACCTTTAGGCCCTATGGAACACCTTTTATTTTTATTATTTAATTGAATTTATATACAGTGGTACCTTGGGTTACATACGCTTCAGGTTACAGACTCCGCTAACCCAGAAATAGTACCTCGGGTTAAGAACTTTGCTTCAGGATGAGAACAGAAATCGCGCAGTGGAGGTGCAGCGGTGGCAGCGGGAGGCCCCATTAGCTAAAGTGGTGCTTCAGGTTAAGAACAGTTTCAGGTTTAGAACGGACCTCTGGAACGAATTAAGTACTTAAGCTGAGGTACCACTGCAGGTCTCAATGAGAATTCCTGTGGTGTAAGAGCGTTCATTCGGAAGCAAGTTCAACAGGACATGCACCCCCTCGAAGGCATGTTTAGGATCACAGCTTTCAATTGGCAACTTTCCTCATTGGATTGTGCATACAACTCTTTTTGAAATTAGGAATGCAGCAAGCTGCTTTATACCAATCCTGACTGTTGGGTCCATCTACCTCAGTATTGCCCACACTGACCGGCAGCAGCTGTCCAGGGTTTCAGGCAGGGGACATTCCTAGACTTTCCTGGCTGGAGATGCTGAGGATCAAACATGGTACCTTCTGCTTGTAAAGCAGATGCTATACCACTGAACAACATCCCTTCCTCAAATGGTCACTGAAATTGGACCTTTAATTAAGCCATTGTTTCCTATTCACTGCTGGGCCCTTTAATTATCACTTCCTTTTTGGAGAGAGCAATTGTTTGCTCTCTTTTTTTCAATTTAATGTTTCTATTAGGACAGTTTTGGTTTAGCAAGATCCCCACCACCACCACCACATTTTTAAAAAGCGACCTAGTGGTTGCTTGCCTGCCAAGAGCCAATGTGGTGTAGTGGTTAGAGCGTCAGACTAGGACCTGGACGACCAGGGTTCAAATCCCCACTTGGCCATGAAGCTCACTGCCTCTCACCCTAACCTGCCTCACAGGGTTGTTGTGGGCAGAACCATGTATGCCACCTTGGGCTTCTTGGAGGAAAAAGGTGGGATATACATGAAATAGATAAATAAACAGAAACAAGTAACTGCAGTGGTGAATCTCTTTGGAATTTCCTCCCCTCGTAATTAAGGCAGGTGCCAAGTATGGCTGACTTCCTTAACGGTGTGAAGGATAATCCTTAGCTGCAGGTGCATGGCTGGGGGAAGGGCTGGCCGGAGGGAAATTAAATGCAGGAAAGTGCTAAAGTAATACCATATTTTTTGCACCATAACACTCACTTTTTTCCTCCTAGAAAGTAAGGGGAAAGTCTGTGCGTGTTAAGGAGCGAATGCCTACGGATGGCGGGGTATCTGCTGCAGTCGTGAGCAGAGGATCCATCGTTCCCCTTCCTTCCCTCCTCCGTGGCTCACTTTGAAACAGCAAAGCAGGAGAACAGCCCCTGCAGAGGTGCAAAAACATGCTTACAAAGCATGGATCCTCAGGATTTTTGCATTGGGCTACCCCAAACTCACCGTCAGATCACATGTCTGTGCCCACAGCATGAACCACAAAAATCATACATCCATTGTTTTGTTTAGAATATTTTTTTTCTTGTTTTCCTCCTCTAAAAACTATGTGCGTGTTATGGTCAGGTGCGTGTTATAGAGCGAAAAATATGGTAATTACTTTAGTAACCACGGAAAAGTTGCTGCAAAGAACACAAGCATCCTGGGTGACCCAATGAAGACCTATAATGTGATTTGAAAAAACCCTTTGTCTTGCTTCAGTCCACAGAGGATGGTGCTGAACCTCTTGATGTATTGTGATTCAGCGGTTTCATGTTGCTGTCTCCCTTTGAAGTTCCTTTACTCCAGGACGGACCCTCTAAGGGGTTACAGATAGTGTGTCCCGGGAGGTTGAGATGCCCCTCCACTGGCGTTTGATGTCGCCCTTTCTGATGTCAGATTTGTGTCCATTGATTCTTTTATGCAGAGAGTGGCCTCTTTGTCCTGTGCAGAATGCTGAAGGGTATTGTTGGCAGGTGAGGGCATAGATAGCGCAGCTTGGGACCAGGATACCTAAAAGATAGTCTCACCCATTATCTACTATGCAGTGTAAGAACTGGGACTTTAGTGTGGCTACACGCAACCTTGGGAACTTTCTCCAGTGACATATCCGGCAAGCACTGCCTCTAGTCTCTTTTTGGTTGCCAGTTCAAGACCTTCCTTTTAGAAGGAGACTTTGAAGCGGATATTCTTATCCTAAGCCTGCATCTTTCATTGGGTGTGTGAAATTGTTTTCCTATATCCTTTTATTGCTGGTGGCAGGGGGGCACAGCTGGCATCTGGGTCTGCCACAGGGGCTGGTCCCTGTATCTCTGGAATATAAGGTCGCTTCTCCCTGTCAGCCTGGCATATGAGGCAAAGCATTCCTGGCAGGGAGTTGAGCAATGGGCTGGACTCTCCCTGCTCAATTTCTAAGTGGCAAAAGATGCTGTCAGTGGCCCAAGACCAGTGCCAGGGGAAATGGTGGCAAACCTACGTTTGAGATTGGATGGGTTATTGTTTTCACATTATTCAGTCTGTTAAAGCCTAATGATTTCTTTATGAATCATGTGGCATTTTAAGCCTTAAAAAAAGCACTCTTAGAGAGATTAAATGGAGTCTAGGACTCTCCAAGATTGCGATTACTCACAAAATCTGGCTTTTGATTAAAGAAGCTGGCAGCTTCATTGAGATCTTGGGAAAATCAGCTTTTGTTTAAAAGGAAAAGAGCAAGTCCCCCACCTGTTGCTATGAAGAAAAAGCAAGAGCAGTTGCTGTCACAGGCTCAGAAACTGGAGGGAGGTAAGTGAGTGAGGGGTGGAGGCTGCACTTTCCTCTGCGATTCAGACACACTTGGTTGGGAAATTCTCCTGCACAATCCTGATGGAGATAATGTGCCAGAGCACACTTGCTGCTAACATGACCATAGACTGTTTGCCCTAGCTAGTGGCGTGATGCTAAGGTCCTAAACTTTGGGACTTGAATTATAGGGGCATGAGGAGAGGTTTAGGGTTCTTTTGTGCCACTATCCTTCACTGCCTTGTTTTCAGAAGGCTGTTTCAGAAGGAAGCATCTCCACCCCCATTGTTCAACCCGAACACGGAGGTCCAGCACCGAGGGCCTTCTGGCAGTTTCCTCATTGCGAGAAGCAAAGTTACAGGGAACCAGGCAGAGGGCCTTCTCGGTAGTGGCGCCCTCCCTGTGGAATGCCCTCCCATCAGATGTCAAAGAAATAAACAACTATCTGATGTTTAGAAGACATCTGAAGGCAGCCCTGTTTAGGGAAGTTTTTAATGACTGATATTTTAATGTATTTTTAATCTTTTGTTGGAAGCCGCCCCAGCCAGATGGGCGGGGTATAAGTAATAAATTGTTGTTGTTGTTACAACAACAACAACAACTACTACTACTACTACAGTATATGCATGTTTGTGTTTGCATGTATGTGTTGATTTGAATAAAACTAGGGGACAGCAGGAGCTGGGGTTTGCAGATGCCATTAAGGCCCCCTACTGGGGCCATACCTATCAAAGGGATGGGAATATGACATGGTGAATAAACTTATTACTACAACATTTACTTATCTGAACGCTCTTAAAAGTTGCAAAATACTTCACAATCTTTACTCTGCTCACAAGGGCCCTGCAAAGTAGGCCTGTGCAAATGCTGAACTGCATATTGATCCAGAGGCAATTGCCTCAGAGAATACAACTCAAGGATTCTTCCCAGTTTTGCAATAAGTGTCTTAAACTGAGAGAGGTACTCTGCTGATGCATTACTGAGAGGCTGCAATCTTATCTGCTTGAGTGTAAAGCGGAGTTCACCCTTTAACTTACTGGGACTTACTTTTGCGCAGTCTGTCCACCAGATTGGACTTGAATGCTGGAAAACTGACTGATAAAGCCCTAGACAACTGGAGATCCCAGCAACCACTTTGTGGAATCATCTCCCCTCTGAAATAAGGCAAGCACTGGCTTTCTTATGTTTTCGCTGCATGCTGAAGAATGTTTTAATTCACCCAGGCATTTGCAGGTTATGAATGCCAGACTTTTAGTAGAACTGGCTGGTTTGAGTGTGAATTTCTGTGTTTTGTCGTGTTCTAATGTGATGTTTTTATGATAAATGTCATTGCAGTACCAATGAAAGGGAGGACAGAGATGTTTTTAAATGAATGAATGAATGAATGAATGAATGTATACAGGACTGTGTTCTGGAACCTTCCTCTGGGATGAGGCGCTATGAAATGGCTGGATAGCTGGTGTTGATTTTATTTATTCCCAATGTATAAAGACCTCTTTTTACTGTAGATAGGATCAGACAAATCAATGAGACGTGAAAATAGATGCCTTATGGCTGCAAACTTGATCTTGTCCACTTTTCCATAGTCCTGCTAAACTCAGTGGAGAAAAGTAATCCTGCACAGAATCAGTTAGATCAGGGGTTGGCAACGTGGCGCCCGTGGGAGGCAAATGGTGCCGATGAAGGTCTTGGTAAATATCCTCAGAATTCTACAATGCACAAAAGACGTTTTCTTTTTCCTCTTCAGTCCCTGTTTGTACTGACTCTGCCTTTCCTATACCTAACACGACATCTAAAATGTGCCTATATTTCATTGTGTGCCAGGATTGTACACCCACCCTCCATTCTGCTCTGAAGAGAGGTTCAAATAACTTCTCTTGAGTTTCATTTCCAGCCATGAAATTGCAGTCAAACATAAATATGCATGAGTGCTAGTTAGTGCATGAAGGGATTAAGAGCACAGAATTAGACTCCTAGACTCAGCTAAGCCACACCCCTTTTTATGATGAGGGAGGAAGTGAAGCCTTCTCTTCCTGTTCTCTCTCTCTGTATCATGTAACTGACCAAGGAAGATGTGCTTCAGCAGGTTCCAAGCTTAGAGCATGTGTTTGAAGCTCTCTTTCTGTATTTTCACCCAAAAGTATTCTGCCTATGTTCTCCTTGCTGCTGTTTGGATAAAAGCATGAATTTGACCTCTGGAATGTTTTGTAAGTAAAGCATTTTAAATTTACTTTTGTGGTCTGTTCATTGCAAGAGGAGTAGAAAGAGAAAAGCACTGTATGCAACTAAACAGGATAAAAAGGTCTAACAACCTATATTCCGAACACTATACTGCTGTTTGACTTTAGTGAGTTTAAACTCTACTACCTGGGAGATCTCTCCAGCTGGAGGGCGAGCTTAGCCCCACATTTTGAATCAAAGCACCCAACCAATACTTTTATTATTTACCCCACATACATGGGTCACAGGGATTAATATTTTTCCTCCCATATAGACCTCAGGCCAATCTCTCTCTCTCCCTCTAGCCTACCTTGCAGATATAAGTGGTGTCTGTGTGTCTGTGTGTGTGTGTGTGTGTGTGTGTAATTTGAATGCTGCTGCCCAGAGCTCCATGGTAGTAGGAAGAGATAATAATGTAATCAATTATAATAAGAATATGACCAGGACCTAGGTATATGAAGGCTTTTTAGATTTAATTATTTCATTTCAGTTGCATACCACTCTGTATTAAAGATCACAGAGGGCTCACAGCATACTACAAGAAACAGTATACTCAGATACATTTTTCAAAACAACAACATCCCCCAAACAGCTTTATTGATTCAAAATAAAGTATTCTACCCAGGTAGTGCTGCACATGTGGAAGCGAATCTTGAACCAAAGTGATGATGTTTTGAAAATTAACAACATAGGTTCTCAATATAAAACCCAATGGGACAAATTTCCAGGTGTAGTCTCTTTGGCACACATTGCCACTTAATTAATCAAAATCAGTCACAAGCTGTCCTATGGTAGCATGCCTGTTTTCCCAGCTAGAGGTTTGTTGTGACTTGGTATTCTGCAACAGGAGTGGGGAGAGCAGCAAGAGAACAGCCCACTGATAGGCCACTGGCCAGTTTCCAGGTGAAAC